AAAGATATCTCAAAATCTTTTTTATTGCTTTCAAATATGATTCTTTTAGATCTAATTGAAATCTAGCACACAAATAAATATTAAACATAATATCTAATCTGCTAGTTATTAAATAAAGAAAAGATCTAATAATTCTTCTAAATTTATTTTTCCTTTGGGTCCTCATCCAACTGAACTGAGGAACTCATAGGTGTATTAACTGGTTAAGTATTATTAATTTCATACTTATTGATGATGTCCTTAACATACTTCGACTGACTAAAAAAAGTTCCCTCCTCAATTTGCTTAATGCTAAAATCAAGAAAATAACTAAGATCTCTGATTAAGCTCATCTCAAATTCACTACTCATTATTTTAGAAAAATCATCAAAAAGATTTTTATTTATAGATCCAAAAATAATATCATTAACATAAATTTGAACAATGAGTATATCATCTCCCAATTTCTTCAAAAGAGAGTAGTGTCCTCACTTTCTTTTTCAAAAGATCTCTCGAGTAGGAAAGTGCTTAATATCTCATATTAAGCCCTAGGTGCATGTTTCAATCTGTATAATGCATTTTTAATTTAAAAACATAATTTGAGAATTTTGAATTTTTAAAACCTAAAGGTTGTTCAACATAAACATCCTCTTGTATCATCCCATTCAAAAATGCACTTTTAACATTCATTTGAAATAATTTAAATCCTCTAAAACAGACAAAGGCTAACAAAACCCTAGTTATTTCAAGTCCTGTTACAGGAGCAAAAGTCTCCTCAAAATTAATCCATTCAATTTGATTATACCCCTTAGCCACCAATCTAGCCTTATTTCTCATAACAACTCCTAACTCATTCTTTTTATTTTTAAATATCCACTTAGTTCCAACTATACTTTGATATTTTGGTCTTACAATTAATTCTTAAACATTATTTCTTACAAACTGATTTAATTCTTCTTGTATTGCCAAAATTTAAAATTCATCTAAAAGAGCTTGATTTATATTTGTGGGTTCTATCATTAAAATAAAGATAAAATAATTGACTTCTTTGCTAAGTTCACGCCTAATCCTAACAACCTCACTAGGTGACACTTATTCACAGGCATGTACACACATTATAGGCTTTCATCTTTGCTTGCAAATGACATCTAACATGAGTATCCATATGTCTAAGAAGTTAATAAACCCAAAAATATATTTCTTGTCGTCACTTGCATGCAGACTGCTATTCACACAGCATATTTATTGTAATGTCTTGCAGATCGATGCCTGCATTTATCCCAGACTTGTTACTTCTGCGCATAGGCAACGTGTAACACTTGCTCTCATCTTCTGCTTTATGCTTTTCATGGCCATCATCTACAAGCAAATTGAACTAAATAAAAATCTTCTAATGCCCTTTGTAAGTAGATTTTTGCATGCTTTGTACTTTGGCTTTTAGTGCTTGTGAGAAATTAATGCATTTATTTGCAAGTCACACGAACCATTGGATGCATTAAGTCTCTTTGCGCATTTATTGCATCCTTCTTACATGTGTTTGTGGAGGGTTGTATTCACCATACACATTACCACATTCATTTGCAATAACCCACATTATTTATAGGTGGATTGGTGTATTTACTCATCATTGATAGCATGAAGATTATATTCATTTTGGAGTTTTTTGAATACACTTTCATCATCAGGTCATTGCATATTGAGCTCTTTTGTTGCATTTCTTCCGACGTTTGATGAAGCTTGCATGCATTTATGTTCATTGTAATTATCTGGCATTTTGCTCGCATATAGCATTAGTAAGTAGAACGGGTATCTCGTAAGAGGTCCGTAAGTATTTGCATTTTTATATACCACTTGTTCTTACTTGAGATTAATTGGTATATTTGTCGGACATTGCAAGGTAGTCAACTATAAGGGATGAACAGATTTGCCTTTATTTTGATATTGTTAATAAAGCATTAACGTAGTCATTATATTCCCTTCATACTCATTACATGTAGCCTTCCAATGTTCATAAAGAGCTACTACATTTACCTACGAATGGCCCATCGTTGATTAGAGGGACGTCGTGATATTCCTTACAAATTCCTTGTAGCCACCACAAATTCCTTTTCCAATTGTAAGCTAAATGTTACATGCATGGTAGACCTCCTACAATAGTTTACAGGATGTCACATGTGTCACGAGTGTATGATCCTCCGAATGCAGGTTGTGTGTTCATTTGTTTGTAAGCTTGGATTATCCCAAGGATATTATTGTACTTGTTGCACATTCCCCATTTGTAAGCAATCCATTGTATACACTATGGGCCATTCTCTATGTTATAGTGTTGTCGCAACCCAATTATTCACTTGCTTATGAACAAATCATATGCGTTGAGATTTTAGCACAAATCTCCTATCAATTGTCTGATGTTTATTTGGATGGCTTGGGCTCATCATATGGTACGTGTATGTTTATTTATTATTTGGAACTTGAACCGTGTTCCCTATGTTGTATTTGGGTTGGCAAGCATAAGTACCTTGAATCTAGCTCATGGATGAATTAAGAGCCTTATAGCATCACTAGCAATCAACATCCCTTATTTTCATCATTTGTTCACGTCATATTGGTCATTATTCATGATCGTGGTGTTTTGCCTTATGGCTTACAATGATATTCATTGAAGAGGACTTTGAATCAATGTTGGCAATCAAGTTGTATTCTTCTGTCACTTTACCTTTCATCATTCGTAGGTGAGATATATTCATCACAGCTCTCTTACTCATGTTTATTGGTGTCTCATTGAATCCATTAGTCTCAATAGTTCACAAGGGATTGATGTACCTGCTTATAAATCATCTTAACTTCATTGTTCATGAGTGAGATGTTAGGGATTTCATGTACCATGAGATTTGAATGACTCAAAATTTTCTTAATTAACATTCCATTCAAGTTGAAGTGATAATTCCTTAACCTCCCTAGAATTTTTTGCGTTATTACTCAAATCAAGTTCCTTATTGGTCATTCTTCTTAATAATGTTCAAGCTCAGGTTAGGTTCATGTTCATTGTAGTTCACATCAGATTCGAGTCCAAGTCTTCTGTGGTCCAGTCTGTATGTCTAGTTCATTATCATTTGGTCCAAGCTCAATTTCATTTTAGTTTGTCATCATTAGTTCAATGTAAAGTCTCCTTCTTATTCATTTGAGTCCAAGATCATTCAGTTTTTGGTCCACTATCGTTTAATTAGCAAGTTTAAGTCCCCTGCATTTGCTCTAAATTTTGACAACTTCTTAGCATCTCCCTCGTTTAGGGGAAATCTAAGAGACATAGCCTTCCCCTTCACACTGTGTGAGCGCTTCAAGTAGGTGTCGAATGACACTGCAGTCGCATTTTCTTTAATCCCCATCACGCTGCGTAAGCGCTTAAGGGTCTTCGAGATACCTATTTTGAAATAACGTAGTTTTCTTTCCCTTGCTATTCTACACGAGGGCTTAAGGGTACTTAATTTTTATCCTTGTCACACTACACGAGTGCTTCGAGGCTTACCCGCCTAATCGCAAGCGTCACACTGATTTTCCTCGCACTGTGTCGTTTGAACGCGTAGGGAGGTCTGTCAACTCGCTGCAAGCATCGAGTGCGAGATTTAAGTTTAGAAATTATACCTATAAATGGTGACGTCGATGATGTTGTTGAGGCTCGTGAATTGAGACAATAACTTTCTTTTTTTTTTTCTTTTTCTCCTCTCTTTTATTTTAGAAATTTCCTTTTTCCTCCCTTTTTTTTATTTCTTTTTCTTCCCTTTTTTGGCATAAAATAATGATAATATTTCTATTAGTATTACTATTTATACTAATTTATTCTTATACTACTATTATATTATTACTACTATATAACATCAATAATATGTTTAATAATGATAACAATGGTAGTATTGTAATAATAATATAGTATTAACACTAATATTAACATTAATATCAATTAACACTAAAAAAAAAAACATATATATAAAAAAGAGAGGAATTACCCTCTTTGATTAGGCTACAGGCGAATGGATCAAATAGGTGAGGAAGAGACTAGGGTCGGTCGGCTTGAGGATTGAAGGTTGGAGGTCATCGGGTTGGAGGTGACTAGGGTGGAAGCTTGAGGAGGTAGATTGAAGGCCTTGGCTTGGAGTCACGATGAGGAGTTCGGCTTTGGTGGAGGACGACAATTGACATGCATGGGTGTATAGGAAGTGAAAGGGGCTAGGGCGTCGGAGAGATTGGAGGGGTTTTCGGCTTGAGGAAGGAAGAAGAGGCTTTAGTATTGGTTGGAGGTTAGAGTCGCGGAAGGAAAAGAAGAAGCCGGAAAGGAAGAAGACGGAGGGACTTCGGCTCTGTCGACAAGCTTGCGAAGAGGGGAGGAGGTTGGGTCAGAGAGTTTGCGAGCTATGGGAGAAGTGAGAGGAAGAATCAAAATGTTCTATTCGATGTTAATTTTATCAACGAAAAAGCGGGCAGCGATCGAGCTAATGCACACACGATCAGCTTTTAGATGGCGTCGAATGTAGTGTATTGTCTTGTAGCAGACGGTCGGTATGGCTTCAACATGTAATTTAAAATTCTTTTTCATGTTTCCATTACATATTGCAAAAGGTCAACAGACCCTCACAAATAAAAGTGAAAGACCTGACATGATAAACCTTGAGGATCATATAGGAGGCACCCAACTCTCTCACTTCTAAAAGTTAAAAATTTGAATCCAATATTGAATTAGAGAGCTGCACTCTAACTTCTAAAAGTTGTAAATTTACACTTAATCTTAAATGAGAGCTGTATTTATGCAAAAACTTATAGTCATCATATGATTTTGATTATATATATAACTCGAAATAGGAAGTTGTTTTATTATGAATAGATCATTTTCTACTAAACTGATTTTGATATGAGTGATTCAAGATGATCTTAGTAAGAGATATATCAATTCAAATTCTCCTTACCTTACATGTTACACTCCAAGTTGACTGAAAAGCCATAAATCACTTGACTAGAGAAGTAAGAGGTAGTAAGGAAGATACTAAAGTTGTTCCATTTTAATCAAATTCTACCAGGATAACAACTACTAAAGTCGTAGCATGCAATGCTTATATCACAAAACACATTACATTTCGATTTTCGTTGCTGCAAAACTGCAGTGAACCAAAAGAAATACAATTCTTTCCTAGAAGAAGTCGGTAATTACTCGAAGAAGAAAACGCTGGATGGCCAGGAGGTTAAGCAAGATGAAAAATACAGGAATTTACAAACCACAGACGTGAGAAAAATGATGTGAACAGCCACAACAGCTAAAAAAGGCTTATTAGCAGATTACAACCGCCCCATGGATAGAACAAGCAGAGAGCCAAAGCTACTTCAGTTCAAACCCGGCTGTTTGCGGGGAGTGGAACGACTCCATCGAAGAAATTTCCGAAGTAACCATGTGGCTCATGGACGAGTTTGGAGATGATGTCTCTTAATGTAATAACACCTTCCAAATTTCCCTCCTCGTTAACGACATATATTCGGTGTATCTTCTCAGAATCCAACTTCAATATGATGTCTTCGAGCATGTCAGTTCTTCTGCACGTGATAACACTGTGCAGTAGGGGTGAGGCCTCTTGACGCCCCAGTAAGTAATTTCTAACTGCAGCAAGGAAGTTCTTAGCTGTGATGGACCTGTAGAGAATGAAATCATCTGAAGCACAAGCTCTTCACAAAATTTTATATGGTCCAAATTGGGCCTGTGACTTCAATGTTATGCAGAAAAGAAATAAGATTTCTCTTCACATACCTGAGGTTTTTGTATATTTCTGGAGCTGTTAGAAGGTACTGTACATCTCTTATGCTTATATTGCCTACCACTTTATGTCCACTTTCATCAACAATTGGGAGTCCACCAATTCTTCTTTTCCTCAGCAATTGAAAGGCACTAAGTACAGGTTCCTCCTCAAAAGCCTATAAAAGAAGCATAGGATTTCTAATATTATCACTTGGATTAAGGACATATTTGTTTAAAAGTAATATAGGGAAGTAAAAGAATTCCTAACATAGAAATACAAATGTTAAATTTTAACACAATTAAGATTGAAATAAATTATAGAAAACAGTCTATTTTAGAGGACTTCATGAAGCAACCAAGTAACTGTAGTGTAGTAAATAAATGCAATTCTATTGATTCCTAATGTAACCTGTTAGCAGTCTTGTATGGGCTACAGCTAGCAAGATTCTAACTTGTCTTGGACTTGGTGGCATTTGACCTTTTTTTTTTTTGTTCCTTTCATCATGTATTCCATTTTTGCTCCAATTTGCTCTCACAAATAGTTTTAGATGAGGAAACTCGGTTTCTCCAGCTTTGCTAGGTAACCTTGCTGGCATAGTTCTATGACCTTTCCTCGTACTTTTGAGGAAAACTCTGACTCAAACTTCACAAAACACTTATTGGTATAAATCAATCCCTTGAAATTTCAACGAACTCATTCCAAACTCATTCCAAAAAAACAGGTAAAACAATCTCCCATTGAACTTTTTCAACGTTTTCCCTATCTAACACCTCTTAGTCTATCCTTCTGTCGGCTCCAAAAATTCGACCCAGGCCTCCGCCCGCATTGTTTGTTTTTTCTTTAGCGAGGGAGATTTAACATAATAAGTTTTGGGGTAAATTTTGGGAAGGCAGATGGGTTTGTAGATAAGACACTACCCAGATATTTCGCCCTCATTTTGCGAGGACTTTAAGATCTGAGTTATGGTTTCCTATAGGCGCAAGCCCCTATAGTTAATTACCCCTCCCAATAATGAGGGAGAACTTTCGATTAAGGCTAGTCGTTAATTAGATACGTATAGAGATACGTGTTATCTGGTATATAGTAGCAGCATGGGTTTGGATTTGAAAATTTGAAGATTTGGATTTGGATATTTAAAATTGGAATTTTCACCATCTTGTATTTAAAGCGGATGGTGGGGGAATGGATGATGGACCCGATCAAGATCCCATGGTTCCATCATCCCAGGCCTTTGTGGTCCCTGGTCTACTTAGTCAGAGGCGGTAGTCAACCCAACCTGACAGAAGGATCCTTGTCGGCAGCCATGGGTTGCTTCATCCAAGGGGACCTTGTAGACCTGGGGTAAATATTTGCCTAAGGCGACAAATTTGAATCCACCATAGCTAACATAGAGCTTTGTGCCCTATCGATCATATCCTATTAATTCATATCTCAAGGATTTGATGCCACTAAGGAGCGTATTGGCTCTGTCCATAACTGGTATTTCGTGGTGCCATTTGGTGGCAAAACCACTCGGTTTAGAGGGCCCTGGGTTACCGTTTATCCTGCGGTGCCATTTGACAGCAAAACCGCCGGCCAGATGACACGTATCACGTCCTTATTGGTAGAAGATTGTTTGAGAATGGATCCTAATGATATTTTCGACTAGGCATTAGCTCTATGTGAGTTGAAGTTATATTTGAATTTTTTCACATCGGCAAACTATTGTGGACGGTAAATGAATTTTGCTTTAAATGGTTGGATGGTTGATTTTCGAATTTTAAATATTTTGAATTTGGAATTTTGATGATTTTTAGATTTCAGAACTCGTGGAGTTTTGGATTTTGATGGGCATTTGAAGTATTTGGAATTGACCCCTCCGATTGAGATTTTCGTTCAACACGGCCATCATCGGTGTGTTTGAGGTTATTTTCATTTGTTGATTAAACCTTGTCGACTCGGCCAAACTGTTGATCGAGGATCGGGTTTTTCATAAGCTTTATGATTTTGTGAGTGAATTTCTTTTGTTATAGACCTTGAATGCCTAATATGAATGTATAAAATAAATATTCTGATCGACTTCGTGACCGCATATTTATCTGATGGTTCGAACCCTATCTACTCCTATTTACATGCTTAGGAGGAATGGGTTTCGTAGGCTTTATGTTTATTAGTAAATTCTCTTGATTATAGGCCTTGAAGGTCTAATATGAATGTATTAAAACAAATACTCCGGTCGCAAAGACCGTATATTCGTTTGATAGTTTGAACCCTGTCGACTTCTATTGATCAGCATAGGAGAATCGGGTTAGAATTTGAATTCACTTATTGACCCGCACAGCATCTCTAGACGTCACGTGTGTACCAATAATACGCTCGTCGGGACCCATCCAGGTGTTTGATTGTAATTACCCCTTTTTTGTACATATGTATATACAAACTATGGTGCATGTGCAGGGGCATTCTTGGAATATTTGTAAACGTCTTATGTCCGCTTGCATGAATGTTGCGGATTTGATGGCGATACGTAGCAGCTTCTGAATTTAATTGTTCGATGCTTTATATAGGTAAACTGTCGTGCACTATTTATTACTTTTTGCAATTGGATTATAGTGCACTAACGAATCTCCTGCTTTCGCATTTGCAATTGGATTATAGTGCACTAACGAATCTCCTACTTTCGCATGAAAATGAATTGTAGCGTTATCACCAGATTCTAATGAGATACCTCATTGTTCTGATGTAAAACTCCCTTTTCTCATTCACCGGGAGGGTCCTTGATTTTGAAATCAATGACCACTACTTTGGAAAAAACTCCTTTTAGGATATTTTGTATTATACTTGTTATTTCCGATATTTGTGGATGCAAGCATTGTTTTCTTCTTAAGTATATGACTAAGAAGAGACTTTGTAACACCATGAAGTTTAGTTCTAATTTGTTCAAACATCCCTTTCCTTCTGTCAGGAGGTGTCGTTCTCCATACACCGAGTCGTCTTCATACCCGACGTACTCGTAGATCTCAATCACAGTTGTCATAGGTGATATCTGTACTTGTGTCCACAAGGGTTCGTTATACTTACGATATACCCATTGTCGTTACACACAAGTAGTTCATCTTCATTTACAGGGACCCGTTGTATGAACAACGACCTCCCGGAAGTGTTTGTAGGAGAGTCATTTGCAGATATGTCATATCCACCTTTTACCAATCTCAGGTGGTTTAACGTATTTGTTTGCTAGGACGGGTCTTCTACTATTAATTGACAGTATTGCCATTTCATTCTTATAACGATTGTCGTAGGAGTCTATTATATCTGTATTATGTCCACCTTTGTCGCTTGATAGGTCCTCCGCTATTGATCTCCAGTGTCGCCTTCTTCAACCAACAGGCAATGTTGCTAATGTTGGAGGTTTCAATAGCGCATACAGGACACACATATGCATTCTGCAACCACTTGTTGTTCTTGCAGGTATGATGCACCTGATCTCATAGAGATTGTTGTAAGAGTCCACTACATTTTTTGTTTGTATGCAACGAGATCTTGTAGCGTACTTTGAGTCACTATTGACCGTACAAATGTTCTTGTAGTTTGAGTTCCCTTGTATACGATTCAAGCTTTGTTCTTTGTATATGTTTGAGTCTAAGTTCAGTTTCATTTAGACTTGAGTTCACCGAGTCTACAACTCCCACTTAATGTTGTATGGTACGAGTTCAAGTTCTTATTCAAGTTCAGTTCGTGCTTGGATTCCTTGTGGTCTTCTTGAGTTCAGACTCCATTCAAGTTCAAGTCTTGTTATCCAAATCAAGTCCTTACTTGAGTTCAAGTAGCAAGTTCAAGTTCACCGTCATTTGTATAATGTTCACTTGATTAAGTTTTGATTTTAAACTTGATTTGGTCTTGAATTGTGCCCGAGTTAAATTCAATTATCTTTGTCCAAGCCCCCTGTAAGTGTTCAAGTCCAAGTTCAAAGGTTCACAAGTTTGAGTTTGAGTCCTTTTTTAGTTCAAACAGGTCCGAATGCAGTCATACATTTACCCAAAATTTTGACAGCCTCCAGGCGTCTCCCCCATTTAGGGGAAAATA